GTGGAATTTACGTCTTGTTTCGCAGACTGCAATCTTCCCGTTATAATAATAATAATAGCGTAAGAAGTCGATCTAATGTTCTTCTACAAAAACAAAAAAACAAAAAAAAAAAAAAAAAAAAAAAAAAAAAAAAAAAAAAAAAAAAAAAAAAAAAAAAAAAAACAAAAAAACAAAAAAAAAAAAACAGCGATAAGCAAAACGAAACACGCGATGTACACCGTGTGTGCGCTAATGATGAGTTTATGTTAATTTCACCGATAATTTCGAGCGCGCGTTTTCGCGCGATTTCGTCACGAGATAGGTTTTACGATGTTGTTTCGCGGCGTCGCAACTTTGACCCGTAAATAATAAAGCGTACCGCTTCCAATCACGCTTTTACCGTTCGTTACAAATTGCACTTGATCACGCGCATGCCTTCTCGCGCGAGAGAGCCGGAGAATCGAGACTTTCGATCTTGTCTGGAATCGAGGGCGATCGCGCGGATACGCGGTCAGATGTGCGAGCTACGGGACGAAAAAAAAAGAAAAAAAAAGCAAAAGAGAAAGAGATGAGGGAGAACGAGAAGAGGGAGGGAGAAAACGAAGGCGAGCGCAAAAAGGTAAAGACGAGTCCTTATAAGGACGAGCGTCCTTAACCCGCTTAAATCGCGGGTCTCTTAAAGACGCGACGGCAAAACGATCGCCGAGCGACCGGTAACGGGTCGCTGCGGCAAGTACGATGCCTTTTACGGTCGTCGTCCCGCATTCATGCTCGTTACTACGGCATCCGAAAGAAAATCTTGACGTAGGGGGGGCGCCCTGTAAAAAACGATCCGGCGATGTCCTTATAATAGAAAACGCGAGGTGAAGCGCGCGCGCGCGCGCCGCGCTACTAAACGCCGCGAGTTGTGACGCATCGTTGCGTTTTGTCGGTGCGTAGAAAGGTGATTCACACCGAGAGATACGGCACACAACTTTGATAGTCGATTCGTGACATTGCGAACAAATCTGATTCTGAATCACATGTGGATACAAGGGATTTGATCGTAATTGCTAGTTTTAAACAACTGACAACGAAAATTAATTTGCACATTATCGTTTCTCCGTGAGAAAAATTTTAATAAAATATATGAATGTTTCGTTATATATTTATTGTGTGCTTTTCAAACAATCGACTAAATAATAATAATTTTCACGCGCGAGAACAACGTTTCTCATCCACAACACACTACGGCATTTTCTAAAACGCCATTTTCGATCGCCGTTGGATTTCCATCAAAATCATTCCTTCGGCAAATTCTATCGACAGGACGTCTTCGCGCGTACATCTCAAAAGAAGAGAACTTACCTTATCCTTGCGGCGAGAGATGTCGGCTCCGTGAGATGTAACGCGTGTAGCGATCGCGCCCGGCTTGCCGATTTGCTTAGAAGAATCCTACCGTCACGTCGCGTCGGCGAGATATAAACAGGAATGTTGGACAGGGTCGATGACACCCGGGCGAGCACCCGGGGACCGGTTTTTCGAGGACCTTCGTCGCACAATCCTGCTTGGAAAAAGTGGACAAAGGCGCGTTTCCGTTTCGCCTTCACGACAGAATTTCGTGAAAAGCGTCGCGTCAGTTAATTTGCACGGTCGTTAACTACTCGAGGGATACATGTGTAAGAGTGGTTACGAAGGAAGTGCATTTTTGACAAAACGCACGCACACATTGAGAATCGCGCGTAAAGAAACGAACCGCCGAGGTACGATGTGAATGAGAAAATAATATAATTAGACATATATATATTAAATTGTTTACTTTTTTGGAGAATCGTATATCTCTCGGTGTTCAAATCGCGTGGAGAAAGCTCGCGGCAATAACACACACGACGGTTTCTGATGAAAGAAGCAACACATACCGCGTCGCACAAGACAAGCGTAACGTTTCCACAAACGTTAGTTGAAATCAACCGAGCCGTTATTTGTTTCCCGCAAGCAATGCGTTTAAACGCGGGGGAAACAAGTTTGAACCTCGGTTAAAACTCAACGACCGATGCTTAACGGACCATAATGGGAAAAGTTACGAAAGTACACGAGTAAATTAACGTGGAAATCACCGCGCGGAGAATAAATAAACCCGACACCGGTTCCGGGTGGCTTCTTCCACGAAGGATGACGCGGGTAGCGCCCGGAGTGCGAATCCGCCCGGGGAAAGCGAAGAAACGTGCGTGTGTGTGAATCACGCTGTAGAGAGTCAGCAGCTCTGGATGCGCACACAACAACGTACACGCACACGGAGTCTCTCGGCGATGACTCGCCGCGAGAAGTTTTGAAAGTCGGTGTACGACACGCATGATGATGCGGGAATATCCCGGAGGATGATGTGTAATGTCGAAAAAATGTCGACTGGGGCTAAAAAAAAAAAAAAAAAGAGAAAGAAAGAAAGAAAAACCGGTCCGGATTAGAACCCGATAGCTGACGAGATACGACGAGAGGATCCAAACGATCTACGCCGAGTTTATTGTTCGGCGGTTCTAATGATGATGTTGAATATATCGAGTGGACTCGCGCAATTAAGCGCGCGTCATCGTAGCGGCATTTAACGGAAAGGTAAGATAAGAGAGCGGGAGGGAGCGCGTTTATTAACACCTACGCGCAACCGCTTGTCTCCCGCTTTTTTTCGTCGGCCGATGCTCGAGGAGTATATCGCTTGCAACCGTTGCGCGACGATATCAAATGTTGGATGTTTTTTTTTTTTTTTTTTTTAACGCGTAAACAACGATAATAATTCACGTATACGCGTTGGCGGTGAATTTATTTCTCTCTCGGTATGAAATGTGTACGATGCGCGTGATGAATGATGATACGTATTGCTGTAAGTCGATCATATTGCGTACAGAACAAACTACCAGATGTGTTTCATTATTACTGTCGAGAGATATCAAAGAATGTGTACCGTACAGGACGAGATTGATAAGTATCTTAAAAGTAATAATAACGCGACGAAAGTAGTCGTTTTACGGCATCGATGACTTTATTGCTGAAAAACTTCTCTTCTCATCGAGTCGTTTGTTCAGATTCGGAAATAAATGATAATCGCCATATTTAGCGAGTAACGCGAATGTGAGACGACAATTCGAAACCTAACTTGAAAATTGTAGCCATTGCAACCATTGGAGTGCGAGCTGGTCAATAATCATTGAAAACGTCTACTTTGCCGAACTGTCACGAACACTCTACGTGCGATAATGAACCAACGTTGATATTTGTTCTTCTGAAGGATTAAACTTGTCAACAACAATATGACACCACTCGCTATTTACGTATCGTTTCTAATCAATCTTTTCTCGTATGTATAAAATTTTTATAAAAAGAGAGAGAGACAGTGAGGAAAATGATGGATTTATTCAATAAGCAACTCTATGAGTGAAAGTTCATATAAACACAGCGATTGGACGAGACGCAACGATTCTGGAAAAATTTATATGTAAAACGTCATCTGTCTACGAGACAACTTTGAACGTGCCATGTGGCGTGGACTCGCTCACCCGCTGATAAAAGGTTAAATAACTTTGCTCTGTTTTGATATCGCGCTCGAGAGATTAAATATTCTTTTGTTTTACATTAACATAAAAGTCTATCTGCCGCTATACACGCAAAGACATTTATTTTGTCTTGGGGTGACGAGAAAAACATTCATCTTTGTAGTGGTGACGAGAAGCAATCTTTACGTAGCGATAAACAATTTTTGATTTGACATATTGCGCGTTTACCAAGCTCATTAATTTTCTCTAAGCCTGTTATGCGAATTATAATGCATACATATAAAAAGCATCTTACGTTTTATGTGGATTTAGTTTTAACCTGTCATTCTCAAAGTGCGAGTTACGTATCGATAATCGTATTTCGATTAAAGTGCGCTCGTAAATCAACCAAGATGATGATTTTTCTTTGTTTTTATAATCAAAGTCAATATCCGTTGATCATCCGGTGGATAAGATCGTATCTTATCGCAAAACTCTTAAGAACGTTTCGAGACAATGATACGCGTTTTAAAAGTAAATTTATCTCAAAAAATAAGGAAGCCCACACAATATGATAACATCGCTGTAAAACCTCTAGAATTAAGAGAGTCTTACAATAAAAGCAAATAGGTTTTCAATATTTTATTTCAGTATTTTATTTATTTTACTTTTATCTATCGAGAAAGCGACGTTATCTGACGGTTAAAAGTACATGTTACGATATTACAAATATAAAAATCAATTTTTATAATTGTTTATTTTTCTCGGTTCTCGGTTTCTCACAGCCGATAGGATATATATATACTTTTGACTCGCTTCGACTCCTCCGTGCGATGTGGTTACGAGCGCGAGAGTCAAGGCTCTCGGTTTCAGGACCACCGGTCGTGTACGAGGCGCAACGTTATCCCGCGTGTACACGCGTATCGGCTCGGAGAAAATGTGCCAACGAGAAAACGAACAAACGACCGAACGAGAAAGGGAGAGCAACGGAGGTAGAAGACGCTGGAGAACGGCGAGAGCCACAGAGAAGTTGTATATCTCGATCTCTTTCTCTCGCTTCGGATCTTATGTGCCTCGCTCGCAAAACCAGCGTGGCATAGTGAACGTGACGTCATCGATCGGACATTCCAGCGTTGCTTTACAACATGTTCGTACTCCTCGCGCCATCGCGAGAGAATTCTAGGAATGTTCATTGGTGTCAGATCGGAAACAATGCCGAAACAATTAGGTCACACGATTAAGAGTCAACGCTTTCGTTTTTAATCGGCAAAGAGAACGGCTTCAGGAAGACACAAATGTGAATGAAGCCATAGATTAATGATTAATGAATAAAGATGAAAACTAATTCTTCCGATTTTGTATTTATTGACGAAAACGCTTCGATCAGCTCTGTGTGTGTCTACATACATATATATATAATTTATATATTCTATAAATATTTTCGGGTAAATATAAATAAGAGAGAGAGAGAGAAACGCTTGTGGAATAGTCGAAATAATAAAAATCATCTCTTTGCAGACATATTCTGGCCTCTTCTGCGTCGTAGTAAACCCCTACAAGAGACTGCCAATATACACAGAAAAGATCATGGAAAGGTACAAAGGTATCAAGAGACACGAGGTGCCGCCGCACGTTTTTGCTATTACCGATACGGCTTATCGTTCAATGTTGCAAGGTAACGACGCAATGACACATTTTTTCTAACATACGAAGAGTCCATTATTAACTAGCGAATATGTTACATTCTGATAATTTAAAAAAAAAAAAATGCGACAAAAATATTTTTTATTGAAACAGAAATTGTAAGAATAAATATTTATTCTATGCTCAAAAGATAAAAAAATTAAAACTAGTAGTCTGTGTAAAAGTTATCGCTATTTTATATTTGCAGATCGCGAAGACCAGTCGATTTTGTGCACTGGCGAGTCCGGAGCCGGCAAAACCGAAAACACGAAGAAAGTGATTCAATATTTGGCCTACGTGGCCGCGTCGAAACCCAAGTCCAACGCGGTAAGTTAACGCGCTCGTCGATTAGCGGTTTTTCCGCCGCGCGGAGCGAATCCATTGTAGCCTCACGTAAACGCTCGCCCGGCGAAGACACGCGCGCTCTCGCGATGAATTGAACCGGCCGCAGTTTATAAGAGCCATTTAACCTCTCGATACTCCGCAAGAAATCTCGTTCCCGTAAACACAAACGCTAATTCTTGACAGTTTCCTGAAGCGTGCGAGCGAGCGATTCTCAATCTCGCGTGTAAAAAGACGCGTTTTATTCGATATCAGAAAAACGATTGCGATCCACATCCAGGCAATTGTGGTCACACGTGTAGATAAGCGTCTTTTAACGATCAATGTCGTAAAGTTAATGACCAGTCAATGATCGAACGGACACAATAACAACATAACAAGAAACCGCCACAAATGATGCGTTACACAAGTAAATAGATTTAATCACAAGGGAGTGTCGCGATGGTGTACGATTACAATGGGTCGGCCATGAGCGTGTTTAGCCAATTATTTGGCGCGATCTTTGTTCTTCTCGGACGCGTCGTGAAACATTATTCCACGGGTTTTAAGTCAAGCAACAGCAGAAAGATCAGATTACGTTGGTTAATGTACGATGACTAAAAATGTCGAAATCTCGATCGAGTCGAGACGTGAGTGCTTACCGCAAAATCGCGTTGGTTTTCTGGTTTTTTTTTTTTTTTTTTTTTTTTTATACACGTAGCAAAAAATAATCAA